CTTTCCTAAAATAATGTAAGTGGTGGTGAAAGTTCAATTAGTCGAAATGAGGAAATTGATACGATAGCTCCACCAAAGAATTGTATGCCAATAGGGTTTAAAAGAAAAGCCACAATCGGGCGTCCACGTAATCGATTAAAAAGTGCTCTTGAAAAGCGAAGAAAAAACTCATATGCAAAAGATTCAACAAGACAACAAAAGACCTCTGAGCTATTTTATGAAACTTAATAAATAATTTAAACTTTATAAATAAATTAATGTGTGATTAGTGTTGTTCTTACTTTTTTTATTTTCAATGGATATTATAGGAGCTTATTTTTAGTAGTTGGAACTCACAAGAACAACAAGCTAGATATGATATGTTTACCCAGGTAATTTATTTCTTTTTGTGTTATGTTTCTTTACCTTCCTTATGTTTTATTTTATGATTATGTAATTATTGCTTAATTTATATTTGACAGGAATCTCAAATTGGCCTTGGAGTAGAGACGTCTTCCGTAGCTCATTCAATGACGAACTATGATCATGCAAATTTTGAGGCAATCACGAATCCGCAACCCAATATGTCTTACACACGATTACTTCAGGTAATTATATTGTCTTAACAAAAAAATTGATAATGTTACAAATTAATGATGTAGATTTATTTATTTTAACTTTCTCATAATTTTAGTTTTTCAATGCTTGTAGGAGTCGCATTATGACAACCTCTCACAAACTGCACAAGAAGGCAACTAGTTTGAAAATTTTCCTCCTTGTTAGTCAATCTGAGGCCGGTTTGGTGGAGCTTTTGGGGATGCTAAGATTGTTACTTCTTGTTGTTATAGTTAGTTATTGAATCTTGTTACTCAATATGATGCCTATTTGGTGAAGTTTTTGGGCATGCTGGGGATTGTGTTTCTTTTTCTTTTTTTGTTATAACTAGAAAAACTTGTTAGTCAATCTGAGGCATGTTTGGTAGAGTTTTTGGGGATCCTATGGATTGAATATTTTGTATCCTATTTTGATTAAAATTCTAAATTATAAAGTAAATGAATAGAAATATTGCCAAAAAAAAAAAAGGAAATAAAGTACTAGGAGTATTATAGTTTTGTATGTTTTTAATCACTCAGAGTTTTCACTGAATTACAACTGTTGATATAATAATCAAGCAATATACAAAAACAAATACATATTGGTACATGTACAAAATTGATTCATTTTAGTTTTCACACAAGAGCTTCATTGCAAATACTTCAACAAAACATTCACATGTACTCACAGGATTGCTTAATTCAAAACTACAAGTCCAACAGTTTAGATATAGCTACAAACGCCATGAAGAAGCTCTTGTGTTTTGTGAAACAAATCTTAACACATCAATCACTTTTAATAAAATAAAGCAAGCTCAACTCAAAACCAAATCAACAGAGATTGGGATTTTAATAAAAATTGAACTGAAACCACAATTTGAGGTAAAAACACGGCAATCTCATTGAAAACCAAATATTTGCAATCCCATGACAGAATCACAATCACAGTAATTCAAAACACCTAATATTGCTAACTTCTAAAACCACCATTTACAAAAACAACTTACTTCTAACAACCCCCCAAATTATAACTGATAATCAACCACCGAATCCATTCATAGTCCTACCCTGCCTCTTCAAAGCATAAACCACATCCATGGTGGTTATAGTCTTCCTCTTGGCATGCCCGGTGTAGGTCACGGCTTCCCGAATGACGTTCTCGAGGAAGATCTTGAGAACTCCACGAGTCTCCTCGTAGATCAGCCTATTGATCCTCTTCACACCACCTTTTCTGGCCAGAAGGCAGATCGTCGGCTTTGTAATGCCCTCGATGTTGTCCTGGAGAACTTTCCAGTGATGCTTGGCACCTCCCTTGCCCAAGCCCTTTCAGCCCTTGCCTCTTCCGGACATTTTTAGAGAGAGAGAGAGAGAGAGTCAGATCTAGGGTTTTCAAATTGAAGGAATGAGTTCCAATTCTGTGTGTTGTGGGATTAAAACTTTTAGATCTCTCTTTGAAACGCAAGCAGATTAAAGATTAAGATGGAGAGAGAAAGATGAGAAGATTAGAATGAGTCTGTTGCGGCGAATTGAAGAACTGAGTTCTAATTAAGTTGTATTGTTGAGAGAAAGAGAGAGAGAAGAGAGTGATTACGAGAAACGGGTTTAACCTAGACAAATGGGCATTGCCATCTTTTATTATTATTTTTATTTTGAATAGGTGTTAGAAAGGGAGAAGGTCACGTTAGTAAGGAGGATGAAGTTCATCTTCCTTGCGCAGGATGCAAGCATTGTTCTATATATAATATACTAACCCCCCATTCACAGTTTTACACAAATAATAATAATAATAATAATAAGAAGAAAAGAAGACGACAAAATAAAGGAATATAATCATGACACAATTGTAAATATATATAATATATCTATCAATTTATCACTTTCCCACAAAATATGATATTTTTTCCACTTTTCCAAAATATTATATTATTTCCTAAAAAAAAAAAAAAAACACATTTCATCAAGATATTCTTTTACACTTTTGACTTTACCATAAACAAATGGATTATTTCCATCACATTTTCAGTCATCAACATTTTCCTTTCCTCGAGTCTTCAACATTTCATGATGCGACTGACATGTAATCTGATATATTTTTTGTATCATCTAAATTTACGATTATTATTTGATTTTATAATTTTAATTAGAAAAATTATTAGTTATTGCTATTAAAATTATTTTAGGGCTTGTTTTTTCAAAATTTAGTTTGTGTAATTGTGTAACTAATTATTACTATTCTCTAAATAAGACTTAGAATTTTTTTTATTTGCTGCCGAAATCAATGAAATCACAGATTCACTGACTAATTCAAATTTTCGGATTGATTGGATTATATTATTATAAATTATAAGGTTAGTTATCTTCATATCTTACTTTTTATTTTATTTTTTTGATTTTTAATATGAATGAATTTTTATTATGAGTAGATTGACAATCTGACATAGTAGTTATTAAGAATGTTTGTTACCATGGAATTTTTTGGAAAGAAATCGGTTATCATGGAACTTTATATATATATATATATATATATATATATTACATATGTGATATATTAGAACAATTAGATTTAAGTAATTGTGTTATTTTCTTTTTCATATCTTATTTTTGATTCATTGAATATAAATTTTTTTTTTAGTATATTTAATTTAATATTGCCCCCACGGCTAATAGAATTATAAAAAAAGTACAACTCACATGTTGCACTATTGGCCGGAAAGGTGCTAGACCTGACTGACATAGACAATTTGCATATTTTTCAAGTTGTGGTATTGACTTGCTCGTTTTATAGTTCAGAGATAAATTGCCATTTCTTTACAGTACCTGAGGATATTTTGCTTTTTTGCCACAAGTTTATAATGGTAATCATTTCCGACTCAGTGTGTTTGTTGCCAAAGTACTGAAAAACAAAAATAAATGACGAAAACATATTTAATAATATTTTGCTATACTTTGTACAGTATTATTTTAGAAAAAAATTCAAATGGGGGAATAAGAAAAAGACACTTATCCTTGTTACTCTAGCTATACAACTGTGGTGATTTATTTTAACCCTTCATTCTTCTATGTTCTTTAATTTTATTATATTCCACTTAACTTTTCGTCAAAACCTTGTTAATTAGATTATAGAATTTCTCATTATATATTAGTCTATCAATTGAAACTGCGAATGTCAAAACAAAATTCATGATAGTTTAGTAGTCTGGTTTATTCATCCATGATAAATGTTAAAATAGTATGCGTAATGGTGGTGTGGTGGACGGCAGAGGCGGTGGTGTGGTGGTGGAACGCGGCGGCGGTAGTGGTGATGGTTGTGGTTTGTGTTGGAGGTGGTGTGGTGGTGGTGGAGGTGGCAGTGGTGTGGTGAGGGAGGTGGTGGTGGCAGTGGTGGTGTGGTAGGGTTAGTTAATATTTTTTCTCCTTTTCAGAAACTATCTATTATAGTCATTTCACCTCAATTATAATTAATGACAAATTAAAAATGACATTTTCCTAAAGAAATATTCTTTTAATTAGTTTTGGATTAGATTCAAAGGCCACAAGTAAAAGTGAGCATATTACTCACACACAATATTTTATACATTCACTTTGCTCCTTTATAGACTCTAAAAACTCTCACCATCTATTTTAGAAGGCAGAAGAGATACCATTGAAACAAATGGTCCCAAGATCATGTAAATTCTCAAGGCAACTTATTTAAATGCAACAGAAATGCAGAAACTTTTATGCAATGGTGAACACAAGGAAGTCAACCAAAACTTAAAAGATGGACCAACATTTGCTGGGAAAGTATCCCAAACTCATGTACAGGGACGGAGCCAATGAAGGACAGAGGGGCACGTGCCCCCTGGCCTGCCCCTGCCCTCTTAACTTTTTCCTTTTAAAGTTCTCTCAATTTTCTTTCTTTTTCTTTTTCCTTTTCTTTTTCTATTTCTACTTAAAATTCTTCTACGTGCAAATTTAAATAATTTTCTTTTATATATATATATATAGATATATATATTACACGGTGCCCCTAACTTGAAATCCTAACTCCGTCCCTGCTCATGTAGATATTTCCAATGGTAAATTAGTATGGCAGCTTAAATGAAGAATGAATTAAACATACTCTGGAACGAGAGATTGGGTTTGTCTACAATGCCATCAACTTTGGAGAATTTACTCCTCAGTTGCTCGAGGCAAAAAGGACTAAAGGGACCGTTAGCTACACAATTTAAACATAATATTGCCCGGATAAAACTCATATCTAAATCTTCAACTCTTCCGGCATAGGAACATCAAGTTTCGCTTTACAGCATTCGGTAACATTTAACAGAAAGAGGAGACTAATTTGTCAGGATAACATTTGAAAATATGTAAATGCAAATCAACTCGAGCTTTCAAATGTCGAGCAATTTGACAAGGAAACCAAAACATGAAAATCAAGCACACAAATTTACAGATAATTTTGCTTCCTTTTTTCCAGAGACTAAATTTTTGTTACTGGCAAATTGTATCTTAATGATCCACAAAAAAATGGGAAAGTCAGTTATTCTTGAGGAACTCAAGAAAAACACCCTATAATATTTAACAAACATCTAGATTTCACATTATAATCTCAACGCTTGGAGAATTGTGGGGCTTTTCGGGCTTTCTTGAGACCAACTTTCTTCCTTTCCACTACTCTTGCGTCCCTGGTCAGAAGACCTTCCTTCCTCAGAGGTCTTCTATGGTCCTCACTCACCTTTAACAGCGCACGAGCAATGCCAAGGGAGATCGCTTGAGCCTGCCCAGAGAGGCCACCACCATGTGCCTTGACAAAAACGTCATAACTGCTTTCATATCCCAACGTGACCAATGGAACTTTGACATACTGAAGCCACAATGGATTTCCTTGAAGATATTCCTGCATCACATAAATTCCAACACCAGGAGTATGTAGCCATGTAGGCAAACTAGAGAAACAACTTGAGAAGGGAGTACATTCAGTATTCTATGTAGAAAAATGGTCTCAACAGTTCAGAACACACCATAAGTAGGCTGTAGAGCCCTGAAATAGCAGCTTCCATTGGTTAAAGAACCAATCAAAAGCCTCATCTATCTTCACGTTTTATATGGTCTAGTCTTTTAAGTGAGGATTCTACATCGCCTAACCACAAGTTCAAATCCGCCAAATCCTTGTTCTTGATTTTAAATGACATTTGAGAGAAGAATGTTTAATTATGCAGAAATGCTCCACCAGTCTCCATGATGCAGAAATGGATAATTAGCACATAAATGAACCAGGATGACGAAAAGTACAGCTTGAAGGTTAAACACTTAAACATGATAGAGACTCAAACCATTTGCCAAAACAAACAAGACACCAGAGGGTTATGGATCGCATGGTCGATGTGAAGAGAAGAACCACCCTAAAATTTTTGTTTCAGTTCTACTCCCCCATTATACCAGCAGAAAAAAAAAAATTAAAAAAAAAAATTGAATAATCAAATATTGAAGTTGTGTATTTCAAGTTTTTGGTGGCTCGCGGATACAGCTTAGGTAAAGTTCAAGCATGGTAACTTCAATATTGGAGAAATTACACGACGGATTAGCGTCATGCCTATTTTAATTCTTGCGAGGAAGTCTGACGCTAAGTTGATGCTGAACTGATCAGTGCATGGTTAAGAACACTACAATTTTCCGTCTATGGGCAAGAATCACACAAGTTTTGCATCATACCAAATCCTTCTATACGAATCGTTTTCGTATCTTGTTGTGGTATCATTGAAAAGGTCCTAAGAGAGCTTCTCCAAGTAGAGTATTGAAAACATATATTCAGTGGCCGCAATGTAGGTCAGCGTCAGACACATTTCTTCCTTCTCTATAAGTAATAGCAATATATGCCATAGTAAGCTTCTTTAAGTGCCCCAATGTGACTTTCTCAATGTTCCCTGGACATTTCCACTTTCTACTGCTGCATCCGAGCACCATAAGACATACAAGTGGTACTGAAACTAAGGAAATCTGTCTGCTACAAGACTAGATGCACATACGCTCTTCATATTCTCAACCAACTCTACTGCCCTACAAATGACACTAGAAAACTAAATCTTAAGTGGAATTCTCAGATGAGTAATCTCAATTCACTTCACATACCCATTAACTAAATAAACTGACCAGTCATAATCTTAAATATAAATTAAATAACAAATCCAATAATATATTCATCTTCTAACATGGAGAGGATTCAAAATAATTGAATGCATGCATAAAAAGAATGTGTCTGGTTAAGTCATAAAACTTCCATCCAGAAAGGAATTTGCACAGCACCAAGTGGGTGAAAAAGTACCATTTATTAAAGTAGGATATGGCTAAGAAACAGTAATGAAACAAACAAGGGTATAACTAAGTCATTTGATAACAAGCTCTGGATTCTGCGACGCAATTACTCCAATGCATCATAAGTTCCATCTGAAAATGAGTTTTTGCAAGGAACTAAAACGATCTATAGGTAAAAAATCATAAGCCAATGAACCTTATTTATGATGCCCCCTTCTAGATTCATAAATTTTGATCTTTAATACTCGAGAAACAAACTCATACTCGTATTTAACATCAACACAAATAAGGGTACTGCAACTTAGAACACATAAAGGAGGGGAAACATCTGCAAAATTCTGTAGCAATGGCTTGCATTGCAGTTGCTATTCAAAAAACAACACTAAGCTCCATCAAGAATCTAATTTTCACTCGACTTTCATCTCTCAGACGTATGATGAGTGGGTCCGATTTGTGAGACTCTCAACATCAACAGCTAATAACTGCATCACTAGCGTTCCTCTTAAACAGACACTCAGGCTGCATCTCCGCACGACAACAACAGAATAACGATGCTTGTCTTCATACTATGTAAATTCGAGATAATAATTGTGCTCATAGTAACCAGCATAAGAAGTAATTAGAAAATAAGGATGCGATGCGAACACATTAGCCTCACGAGAAAGATAAAATCTCTAACTAAGAGGAATTACCAATAAAATTATAGTGAACACAGGGAGGCCAAGCAAATAAAAGAGGATTCAACATTGCTATATGCTACTAAGGATTCAGAAAACCCTAACCTACCAAGTGTAAAAGCACTTCCTATGATACTACATATCCATTCCATCAAATATCAAATTACAACCCTAACTGCAATAAGGAATACATAACTCACACAGAGAGGCCAAGCAATTTAAAAATGAATCAAACATTTCTATATACTACGAAGGATTCTATAACCCTAATAACAACTCATAACACAAATTGCAACAAAGAATACTTGTATATCTATTTATATATGCATATATATAGAGAGAGAATGTGTGTGTGTTGAAGGTACCTTGGCGTCACGGTAGTTGATTATGACTTTTCCAGTTCCTTCTTGGAGGACAACACGCGCGATGGCGCATTTCCGGCGACCGGTGCCGAAGATAGTCTGGGCAGCGAAGCCACCGGGAAGTCTCGACTTGACGTATTTCGTGAGATTTTCCGTCTCCAAATCGACCGGAGACGGCGCCGCAACGGCGGAGGCAACGACGGCGAGCGGAGGGGTTCGGACTGTTTGCGATAGCGAAAGAGGCTTCGATTGGGGAAAGGAGTGAGCATGGTGTTTCTGGGAAATCTGAGAGGAGAATGAGAGAGAAGAGAAGGAAGACGTCAGAGAAGACATTGAAATCGCCATTGCTCTTCAGCTCTCTTCACTGTGTGTGTGTTCGGACTTGATCTTGGAGAGAAAAAGAAGATAAATCGGATAAGGTAGTCTTTATTTGTTTATTTATTTTATTGGTTTGTTTTATTTTTCACTGTTCACTTCAACCCAGCTCTGTCCGGTTACTTGAAAAAATAATAATATTGAGAAGCCAAAGTGAATGAAAGAAAATGATTATTAATTTACACATGTTTGGTTAAAAGAAAATGATTATTAATTTACACATGTTTGGTTAAAATGAAATTTTAACTACAGTAAATTTTGTGTAGAATAATATTATTTTACATTTAAAATATATGAAAATTTGCAAGAAAATACATTTTTCTTTTTCCCTTGCCAAAAAAAAAAAAACAGCTTTTCATTTTGCTTTGTTTTCAAACTTGACAGCAAGATTCAAGATAAAACCAATTTTTTTCCCCCAAAACATACTTTGAATTTCCAAAGTAATAAATTTGCACAAATATTTACCACATAATGATTTGATATTTTGTTATCACACCAAAAATATTCTGGTAATATGATTGAAAGTCAGTCAATATTCAGGATTACTTTTTTCTTTTGTAAATTTATATAATGACATTAAGATTAATATATTTCGATTTTGAAAATTATAAATGAATGGAAAGAATATAATTAGTGATGCTTAAACTTTGATAGTGAAAATAATATAATTTTCACCATTTAAGTAATAATAATACATAAACAAAGTCTTATTAAATTTTGATAGTGAATGAACGAAAATGATTATTAATTTACACATGTTTGGTTAAAATGAAAATTTAACTACAGTAAATTTTTTTGTAGAATAATATTATTTTTCATTGAAAATATATGAAAATTTGCAAGAAAATACATTTTTCTTTTTCCCTTGCCAAAAAAAAAAAAAAAAACAGCTTTTCATTTTGTTTTGTTTTGAAACTTGACAGCAATTAGGATTCAAGATAAACCATTTTTTTTTTCCCAAAACATACTTTGAATTTCCAAAGTAATAAATTTAATTGCACAAATATTTACCACATAATGATTTGAAATTTTGTTATCACACCAAAAATATTCTGGTAATATGATTGAAAGTCGGTCAATATTCAGGATTACTTTTTTCTTTTGTAAATTTATATAATGACATTAAGATTAATATATTTAGATCTTGAAAATTATAAATGAATGGAAAGATTATAATTAGTGATCCTTGAACTTTGTTAGTGAAAATAATATAATTCTCGCCATTTAAGTAGTAATAATGCATACACAAAGTCTCAGTAGGTAGCCTGATATAATCGTATACGGTATAACAATGACTATACCGAGTCACCGACTAGTTATATACATAAAAATTGTTAGTCATATCAGGAGTCGGGCTGGTGTTAGGGTGGGATTTGGGTGAGGCTAACTGGAGCAGGGCGGAGCCAATTAAGGTCTAAAGGGGCACGTGTCCCTTTACCCTTGCTCCAATTATTATACATTAGTACATATTTTTTTCTATATACATATACCTTCCTAAAATTTTCAAATTCTTCTAATTTTCTTTTGAAAAAAAAAGAAAAAACGTTACATATATCTCCCTTCTTCAAGTACATCATATATTTTTTATTTTCTAACTTTTGTTTCCTTTTTCAAAAATTTTATTTTTTCACTTATGTATAATTATGTATTGTACCATTTTTTTCTCTTCTTTTGTTTTTATCGATTACATTTGTGACTGTATTTAATTAAAATATTATTAATCAATATATTGATTCTTATATTTATATATATATATATTTTTTACAATACTTATTTAGCATATTATTTTTAAACTATTATTATTATTATTATTTGCCTTTTGATTTTTAAAAGAATTATATTTGTCATACTTGTTGATTTTTTTTTTTTTTCTCTCAATAAGTGCATTGTGCCCCCTAAAATACAATCATGGCTCTGTCCCTGACCTGAGCAACCCGATTTTCACGTGATAGTTATACGGGAATGGGTAAGGTCATTGAGACCATAGGATAGGGCTGGGTTTAACCTTTAGAGCCCAAATTTATTTTGGACGGGATTTGGACAAAGATTTTAGTAACCCGAGGAGTCCTAAGAACCCAAAATATATGAATAGTTTATAACTTTTATACAAGAATATAAGTAAAATAAAGTTAAATTTAGATTATTTATAGCATCATCAATCATGCATTCATGGTATTCACCTAACTTTGTTACTCTGACACGCTTATTTTTATAAAGTAAAAACCTATAATAATTTAATTTTAGTTAAGGAAACAAAATTTTAAAGAATATCAATTCTTGTATTTTTTTTCAAATTTTTATTGGACCATGTTATCTGTCTTTCAACTTGACATTATTGATATATCTTTTATTAGAAATTATAAATTATTGTTATAACATCATATTACACATAATTTGGTTAATTTTTTTTCACACGATATGAGAGCAAGTTTGTGCAGAGAGAGAGAGAGAGAGATAGCAAGTTTTATTTTATGTCATGTTTATGTCGCTATATTTATTTATTTATATATAGGTTATTAAAATTTGGGATGACTATAGCGTGGTTGATATATGATGAATTTCTTGGGGCTTGGGCTTGGCGCGGGTTAAGACGTTAGAACCTTGGATTTGGTGTGGGCTAACCCCTTGGCCCGCCCAAGTCCCACCCCTAGCTGGTGTAGTTAGCCCAATTGCACAGTTGGTTTAGTGGTGGATGGGCTAGCCATTTTCTATTATTTTATTAATTTTTTGTTATATATTTCTTTTTATTTTTTTGTAAAAAATTAGAAAAACATATTTATTGAATTGTTTGTCTATTTTTCCAACCATTCGATTTTTTTTTTATTTTTTTCATGGAACATTTTCTTAACAAATTTAAATCAACATATATATAAAGACATTACATATTTTCTCACAAGTAGTCATAAATAATTTTTCATAAATAAAAATAAAAAATAAGAAAAACAAAATCATACATATATATATATATATATATATATATATATATATATATATAAAGGAAACAAGGAAATAGTTAGGCATTACTTGGTTTGTAACTCTGAGAACAGTTTTCTGTTCTCAAAAAATTGAAAATATAAAATTGTACAAAAGACTCTACTTGGTTCAGTTTTCTGAAAATTCAATTATAAAAAGGCATGTTTTCAGATAACTGCCTTTTATTACTCTCTGAAAACTGTTTTGTATTCTCTAAATTCTTGAAAACTGTTTTCACAGTTACAAATCAAGCAAGCCATTAGTTTTTATTTGAAAACAAGCAAATAAAATGTGGTGCCTTTTCACTGTTTCCTATTTCAAAGAGGTGTAACGAGTTTTTTTTGGGAAATGATAGTTACACCGAAGCCATGCACCGAATTGTTGGGCAGAATGATGTGGAAATCCAACTGGCAGATAATGTGATTTTTTACTCATTTGCCTATTCACTTTTACTATTTACCATCTCTAATTTTAAAAACTTACTTACAGACAAAGTTTCTCTGCCGTCCCCAATTTCTCTCTCTCTTGCACCAAATAGAATCCGTTTCACTATCACTGGTGTTTTCTTAATCACAATCATGCATTAAATCCGAGTAAGGTATGACACTTTAGATGTAACAAGACACTAGATTCTCATGTTAAGAGAAGATTAGAATTAAATGACTTAGCAGGAATAAAGTTAAATAAAAAATTTCACGCACTTGTTGTTGAAGCTGGTAGCTATGAAAATTTATCGTTTAATGAAAGGGATTGTAGAAATTATATAGCAAAAGCAAGACAATTGAGACTTGGGATTAGAGATATTGAAGCCCTTCGGAAGTATTTTTGTTGCATGCAAAATAGGAATTCAAACTTTTTTACACGACTGATATAGACGATGAAGGACGGTTAAAGAATGTATTTTGGGCGGATGCAAGATGTAAAGCCACATATCAGTCATTTGGAGATGTTATTGTCTTTGATTCTACATATCTTACAAATAAGTATGATATGCCATTTGCTCCTTTTGTTAGGGTGAACCATCATGGGTAGTCCATATTACTTGGTTGTGGTTTATTATCTAATAAGGATACTGACATTTATACTTGGTTATTTGAGGTATGGTTGGAATGTATGTTAGGACATGCTCCCAAAGCTATTGTAACAAATCAATGCAAGGCCATTCAAGCAGCAATATTAAAGGTATTTCCAAATTCTCATCATCGTTTATGCCTTTGGTACTTCATAAAAAAGATTCATACAAAGTTAGAGGCTGTGATGACCTTGCGGGCGGGTGTGTAGTGGGCGGGTGCGAGAGACACTGTCAGGCTACCACACTAGCGAGCTACGGGTGCACAAGTCCCACATCGCCTGGGTAGAGGAAAGGTGTAGTGCTTATATGTAAGTGCGTCATCTCCAATTGGTATAAGGCCTTTTGGGATGAAACCCAAGAGTAAAATCGTGCGGGCTCAGGCCCAAAGCGGATAATATTATACCATGTGGTGAAGTAGGTCGTTACAAATGGTATCAGAGCCTAACCCAGCTGGAAGTGTGCCGACGGGGACGTCGGGCCTCCAAGGGAGTGGATTGTGATAACCTTGTGGGCGGGTGTGCCGTGGGCGAGTGCGAGAGACATTGTCAGGCTACCACACTGGCGAGCTACGGGTGCACAAGTCCCACATCGCCTGGGTAGAGGAAAGGTGAAGTGCTTATATGTAAGTGTGTCATTTCCAATTGGTATGAGGCCTTTTGGGGTTAAAACCAAGAGCAAAACCGTGCGAGCTCAGAGTCAAAGCGGACAATATCATACCATATGGTGGAGTGGGTCGTTACAGAGGCACTTGCCCAATATAAATAAATTAAAAAGATATTGAAAAATATTGTGTATGAATCACTTAAGCCTCATGAGTTTAAAAAAAGTTGGGTAGAAATGATTAATGAGTACAATCTTGAGAATAATGAATAGTTGAAGTCATTTTATGCAGATTGTCATCGTTGAGTTCCAGTGTTTTTTAAATTCAGTTTTTGGGCTGGAATGTCAACTACCCAACGAAGTGAAAGCATGAATGCATTTTTTGATGGGTATGTTCACT